TAAGGTTTTTCTGCTTTACGCAGAAATGGAGAGATTCTTTGCCAGAGAAGACAGGGCTCGACACTAACTTTTCAACTTACTGGCCAAGTGGCTGGTAACAACTTAGATGTTAAAACAATTTCAGTTTGTTTACTAGCCAAACTGGCTTGTGGAAATCGAAAACCAGTAGCCAAAACTGAATTTCTACTAGTCTGTGGCTAGTTGGCTACCGTTAGAGTCCAGCCCTGGAAGAGTTAATTTTCTTTAACAATATAGCTATTCCTAGGTTTCTATCGTGATTTGAGGTGATTATTTTCACATTTTCCAGAACCCTAAACATCAAGGTTTCATTTCTGATTTAATATCAAGATTTAGTTACAAGAAGTGTTTCATTGTCAGATATAGTTTTTAATTCATACTTGTTAATATCATTATCATTACGAAGTTATCCTTGACTTTATTTATTCAAAATACTTCTTTATCACAAAAAGTTATCTCTAATTGAAATTGTGAGACAATTTGTTAACGTATTACTTATCGAGCACTTTTCGATTAAGTGTCGTAAAACCAAAACCAAAGTAACAAAAACGGCCAATCAGAAGAAAGGAAACCCCTTTGTGAGAGCCAATGAGAACTCAGAGTAAAACCGACCAATCCGCCCTAAGCGCGGGAAAACGCGGGCGATCAAGCCGTGATGGGTTTAAGTTTTGCATCGATTGGTTGAGAGAGAGTAGCGCGACTTTTCTGGGCCAATCAAAGAGCTAAGGAAAGCAAAACGGCTTACAATCCCAAATTACTTTCGACACTCAGTTGAAAACTGTTCCTTATTGATAGTAAAGAGACATGTATCGTATTAAACTACCTCGTGTTTCTTAGAGCTACAAGTTAGTCAGTATGTAGTGTCCTTAGTAAAGGCTGTATTGGACATGAACATTTAAGTTTTGTACTATAAACTGAATCCACTTGCTAAATTACGAATTACAATTGTGAAAAATATTTAGTTCATTTCTCATCGATAACGCCACTCGACAATAACCCAAGGCGATACCAAATGACCAAAACAATATTTTTCTTTTAAAGTGTTCAATATGCTGGTTAGGTGATTCACCCTCCAACGTAAATATATCACTGTGTAACTACAAGTTACAAATAACATCAAAGTGATAAACAAACGTTTTTAAATATTCAAGTTAATCAGTTACGTGTTAAAAAACCAGCAGACAAATAAAAAAAAACAAAAACAACAATCTCAAGTATGCAGCTCTTATTGGAGTAAAGACTCGTTTCCTGGAGAAAGGAAGAGAGAAATACAGGTATTCCTTCCTTCAACTTCTAAGAGTGACTAGAATCTAATTTCTCCCTACAGAATCAACATTAAATCAAAAGGTTACGTCATGAGAATATAGGAAATGATCGCCAACTAATGAAGGTCTTGATTTTTGTACAAATTCTCCTTATCAGTAATGTCGAGAATGTATAGACAACAGTGAGGAGAATATGCATACTGATGTTAGAGCGTAAAGGGTAAATTCCCTTTCAACTTAGCCTGCATTGCAGGCGTCTTATAAGGGCGAGCTAACGTTACAAGCTCGTGATCGTTTATCCGCACGCCATGCTTGATTTAGAGTCAGAGTGAACGGTAGGGGTAGGGGGCGGGGAAAAGGGCAAGCACTGCCCCACCCCTGCCCCTTTACTTATTTTTTACCGTCACTCACCCCCTTGGTGCAAATTACTTTCTCTCCCCATCTTTCCGCTTCCATTAAAATCAAAGATGGCGCCCATTTTTTGCGGAGAAGATACTGAGCACTTGCTCGCCCAAATTACGCATGCTCTGCAGGCTACTTGCAACTGGTTACAACGTTTCAAAAATGTATTTTACTTATACGAATTTTACGACTGTTTTATCAAAAATATTCAAATTTCTAAAATGTTTACACTGATATAAAATTTGATGCTGGATGTTTAAAATCATCAGGTTTAACAAAACCAAGTGATATAATGCAATTGAAATGAATTTTGAAAAGCTAAATGATTAAAGATAGCCATTAATAATAACTTGGTTGGCCCCTAAATTTAAAAATATTGCAAAACCGACTTGGTCGAGAGGCAAACTGAAGCTTAAGATCGTAAAAAAAACGCAGGAAAAAGGTATACAAAACCGCCGCCATTTTCCAACGAATGCTACGATGTAATTACATATTCTTCGTCCTGGTTGGAAAACGATGGTATCTTTTCCTCCTTTTTCACTTTTAAAACCGCCAGGATGTACTGTATCACGGCCTTGTCGAGCCAAGTCAAAGGAAAAACAGTAAAAAACCCTCCCTCGTAAAATCCAAGATGGCCACCATGATGGGTCACAACGAACACCGCTGATTCATTACATTCTAAATAAAGAGAGGAGAAAAGGGATGTCAAGTATTATCAGTCAAGTGGTCTTCACTTCCGGGACTTGTCCCGGTTTACTTCAGTGTCATGGATGAATTGGAGTAAGAGTTAGGGGGATGTTAGTTGATCCTGGACAACTCCCCTAACCTCCCTCCCCCTATCCCGGGTATTCAAAAAATTCCTACCTAACTATTTGCTGGCAAACAGTTATACTCTAAGTGGATCGAGGCATAGTGACGGCAAAGTTTTTCGCCCAAGAACAAAAAAAGCTGAATCTGGTCTAGGATCGAACCCAGATTTCTCCATCAGTCCAGCACGTCAGCTATTAGGACACCTAGTTTCCACAACATCTCCACATGCGCCCGCAAACGTATGGGAGGGGCCTGGCCCCAAGTAGTAAAACCCTAGAAAACGATACCTTGTGTGGTGGTATATACCTGTAAAGACTATTTAAAAGAGTTCCCCCTTACTAAAAAGGGTGCAAACGCTTAATACTTACTGACGTGGTTGTATGGCGTATCAAACAGTTCCTCGGGTACAAGAGGATCGTCGGAGGCATTTAAAAGAAATACTGGGATCTTAATCTGTGAACAGAAATACGTGGGAAAAAAACAATAAATAAACAAAAATAACGAACCAGGATGAACAAGGACTTCTTGATATGAAGTCCAGCGCGCTTACTTCAAAACTACGCTCACCAATAAACTACCGCGTCTCTCACGGAGAAGGGGAATGACAAGAAATGCTTTAAGGGATCTTAAGCAAACCACGATGGTAGCAGCAACGAGGGCGTGGCAAAACAAGAGATCTAATTGGCAGAACAATAGCCAGCACGTGCGTATTAAAACTTTGTGCATTTCTTAGCCGCCCTCTGCCAAACAACAACATGAAATCACCGAAATTTGAGCCGTTTGCGAACGGCAACCGCGACGGGAAATTGTGCTAATTTCCATTCGGAAGTCAACGCTGCATATATACGTTATGCTGAAGTTGAGTTGTGGCGCCGTAAGAGACAGTAAACACATCCAGCCATTCACGAAATTCTTAATATAAATTTAAATTCATTTTTAATTGACGTTTTCTTCGCCGTTGTCGTCCTAATTGCAAGTCCCTGTTCTACAGGGGTTTTAGAAGCAGTTGCCGAAATTTCTGGGCGCTGCTTCAACCCATCGAAATGTAACTACTGCTCGTCAAATACATTTCTATTTTAAGTCTCGCTCTAAAAAATGAAACAAACAAACCAACAAACAAAGAAAACCAAAAACAAAAAAGATATAGAACAAAGTAAAACGAAAACCAAGAACAAAGCCACAAGGAAAGGTTACCAAATACCTGATTTATATAGTTACAGGAACTGTTTACAGCATAAAACTCGTCCAAATTATGAAATCCAGCCATTTTTCTAAAGTTAAGAAATGGAAGAATTCAAATTCTCAACTAACTACAAAGTTACACAATCGCACCTCTGTTACCTAGACACACTCTATCACGGTCTCTGTTTGGCCAGGACACTTACGCCAATTTCTCAAACAATCAGATTGAAAAATAAAACTTAACGCGACTTGTTCACCAGCGATTTTCTGCGCTTCAAACAGTTTGTATGGTTGTTCTCATTATTATTTCTCAGTTTGGTTAGGGCGTTCTCACTGGCGCCCTATGAAATTTCCTTTGTCCTGATCGGACGCTGTGGTTACTATGGTTTCGCTTTCCCGACATTCAATTGAAATGCACGCTAAAATGTCACTCACTTGACATATGCATCATCTAACTCCACAAGGGAAGAAGAGGAACGAACATGATGCACAGATGATGTGAATTTGGGGCACTGGAATAACACCTTCATGTTGCGATCGAGTACCTTCTTCACGCTTTGGGTGATGCCCCAGTTGTAAAAACGTCGAAGACCATCCCATTCGTGAAGGAGAGTCTTTGCTCTACAAACCACAAAAAAAGATCACGAATAACCAAGTGCACATATTACTAACAAAGTTGCAAGTTCTTGTTTTACCCATTCAACCCTATGAGCGTCCAGTACCTAGTTTCTACTTATAACAATACAGCTGAATCATTCATTAAAATCATGACAATAAAGGAAAATGATCGCCTACATATGAAGCTGTGATTATTAGACAAATTCTCCTTGTAAGTACTAAAGGAAATGTATAGAGAACAATTCCTCTATTCGCTCCGACGAAAGGCTAACGCTCGAAACGTCAGCTTTTATAATCGTAACGGTGGCCAATTTACCATTTCAACTTTGTTGATATATTCAAATTATTTCGTTACCCCCACCGACGCAGCCCCAAACAGTTTCTTTAGAAACTATCAGCCTTTATTCATTTGTATAGAGAACAGTCTAGGGTGTTTAGGGTTAGATATTCATGATGTCATCTTTCCTGTTTTACACCAATCAGTCCGCTGTCCACCTGTTCATATGTCCATTCTAACATCCATCAATCAGGCAGACAGTTTGTGAGCCACTTAGTAAGTAAGTCACCTAAATTTGTAATTTGGTCAGTCAAGGAGTCAGTCAATGCCCCAGTTTGATAGTCACTCGGTTAGTTGTTGGTCTGTAGGGAGCTAGTCAGTGCCTCAGTTTTACAGTCACCCAGGTAGTTGTTGGTCTGTCTGTCTATCTGTCCGTCATTTACACCCTGGCATCAGTATGTATAATTATTATTACCTATTATTATTAATTATTATTATTAATTATTATTATTAATTATTATTATTAATTATTATTATCAATTATTATTTTTAATTATTAATTATTATTAATTATGATCAGTATGTATAATTATTATTAATTATTATTATCAATTATTATTATCAATTATTATTATTAATTATTAATTATTATTATTAATTATTATCAGTATGTATAATTATTCCCCATACTGTTCTTCATTCATTTCCTGAGCATGCCAACAAGGAGAATTTGTTGAATAGTCAAGAGATTCTTTAGTTGATGATCACTTTTGTAATTCTCCCGACCTCAATGTGTGATTCAGGGGTGATATTGTTAGGAGAAATTACATGCCAGTCACTCTTAGCGGCCACAGGGTTCAGGAAGATAATCATAACCTAAATCAGTCAATCTGTTATTTGATATTCAATGATAAGTTATCCAGTGAATTTTGGTTGATTTAACCTTTTAAGTCCTCAAGGTGACAAGCATCTTATTTCTCACACACCATCACCGCTAAATCCATGTAGGTCCAGAAATGCATGCTGCCACTCAAACTGAGTGATAGCTTATGGATTTGTCAATTTTAGCAAAATGAGGTGAAATCAGCTTGGCAAAACTGACAATTTTGACGTTTTTTAGTCAAACTCATGAAAACAAAGTCAGCTAGGTGGATTTGACAATTCTGGACACATTTTCCTCATTTTTGGTCACCACATGCACTTCTGGGATTGAATTAAGGAAAAAATATTCTTTGACAAGGAGCTAACTCTTTATGTGTCATTCTCAAGAAATTCCCTAAGTATGGTGATACATCATTGTAGCTGTGACTTAAATTCAAAATTGCAAAACTCACTGTTACCTTAAGATATCATATCCCTGGCAGACAGACACCGCACATTCAAATAACTCCTGCCGTGAGGGTTCCTCCCCCAGATATTTAATTAAAATGTTTGCGCCCATTGAGAACCCAACTCCAATAAGTCGCTGGTGATTACCCACAGAGGTGATATGCGTTACCATAGCAGCCAGCTCCTCTGTACCACCTATATCATTATTATACCAGTTTTATTAGTAACATATTTTCGTTTTGGTTTTCAGTTAAGCACCTCATGTTTAATTAAGTTTGTTACTAAATGTACACCTTTGTGGACAATTATAGTTTACAGGTGTACCAGTACATCAACCTTAGCTTTTTGTGGCCTAACTTTCAAATTTCACAAATCCAAAATTCTATGCAAGGGGGTTGGTTAGTGTTTCAAGATCCCACCTGACCACTTTTAGCTTTCTAACGATTCCTCAACACAAGAAACTGTAAATTTATTCATGAGGTGGCTGTCAAATTCCCCTCCCTATCCATATTTAACAATGTCCATAAAGTAGAAGTAAAAATTTCACAGAGATGTAGATAGCTAGCAATTACCATAAGTAAAAATCCTTGGAGTGGACAATCCACTCTCCTTCTTAGCTCCCAAATGATTTAACACAGCAACCCGGAAGCCCTGACGAACGGCATAGTCAGTAAATGTGCGCACATACTTTGTCTCGGAACAGTTAGCAATTCCTGGGACTGTGATGATTGTAGGCTTCTCCTTGGATCATTAAATAAAGGAAAAAATGTTAGTTCTGTACACTGTTACTTGACTGTTGGTTGTACTGCCTGACACTCTCTTGTCACTGAGATTACAAGATGTTTTTTTTCAGGGTTGCTCATGCAGTCTATGAAACTTGCCAGGTCGTTCAATTGACTTTATGACCAAATTTGATTGAGAAATTGTCACCAATTTATCAATAAGATGACAGACATTTGATACAGAACATGAAGCTCAGATCAACCGAGATTTATTCAAGTTATAAAACACAAAAGAAACTGGCAAAAAGATTTGAGTTATTCTGGCAGTATTTCATGATCTATTTACTCTTTGACCATTGTTTCCTTAGAGGGTGAACAGAACAGCCTTGCATTTACTCAAATCCTTGAGATCTAGCTGTGAAAGCTACACACTGCATTCCCAAAAATCATTTCTGCATGGCACCCTTTGTCTATTATAGAAGCATGCCCACATCTGAGTGTAATGTATGCTGGAACCTCATGCCAGTTGGGATTCTTACTAATGTTATTTTCAATTTGAATTATTTGTTTCAGTTGTTTGGTGGAAAACCTGTTAACTAGCTTCTAGCTAAGCGTTTCTCCACATTAAAACTGTTTATCATTATTATTTATTATTCTTTCATGGGTTGCCATTTTGATTAAACCAAAAATTATTCAAGTTATAAAACACAAAAGAAACTGGAAAAAAGATTTGAGTTATTCTGGCAGTATTTCATGATCTATTTACTCTTTGCTCATTGTTTCCTTAGAAGGTGAACAGAATGCCTTGCATTTACTCAAATCCTTGAGATCTAGCTGTGAAAGCTACACACTGCATCCCCAAAAATCATTTCTGCATGGCATCCTTTGTCTACTATAGGAGCATGCTCCCATCTGAGTGTAATGTATGCTGGAACCTCATGCCAGTTCGGATTGTTAATGTTATTTTCAATTTGAATTATTTGTTTCAGTTGTTTGGTGGAAAATCTGTAAACTAGCTTCTAGCTACGTGTTTCACCACATAAAAACTGTTTATCATTATTATTTATCATTCTTTCATGGGTTGCCATTTTGATTAAACATGTAATGTTGTTTTGATTTGCAATGAGTTTCTCTACTGATACTTCATCTAATTACTGTACATACCATATGATTCTATGTTGCTATTTTTAGAACATTCACGTGTTCTAACTCTGTTAAAAATAACCCAATTCTTGTTACAGAACAGAGGAAGTGCTACCTATGTGGTGCACATTTTTTCATTTCTGTTGGTGTAGCATGGCCTCTAACCCCAGTGCGAGGTCATGCATTTGGTGAGGGTTATCCTTTCTCCCTCAACAACTTCACTTTTGCCGCCAACTCTGATATTTATTGAAAACCTTAGAAATAACATATCTAATTCCTATACTGTCTAATTATAATCAAGTTGTTACAAAAAAGTGCTGGTCTATACTTCCAAAGTCCTTTAATTTATAAACATACCTTACTGCAGATAACATACTCAAGATGCAGTCCAAATTATCATCCTATATGATAATTATAATTATACCAAGATAATCATGGGAATTTATTGGTGGACATGCCATGAGGTGGCTCTACTTCTCCACTGTTTCCAGGTCAAATTGGAATTTGAAGTGTTCAACTTGGTTTTCGTGGGGGGGGGGAGAAAATCAGAGGACCTGACGTAGGAAAATCCTCAGAGAAAGGACAAGAGCCTTCCATAATCTCAACCCACCTGTGACAACAGGTTCAGGAATCAAACCCAGGCCACAGTGGTGGGAAGAGAGCACTCTTGTCACTGCACCTTCTCTACATGATAGCTGCTGTTTGTCTTAAGAGCATATTTATCTATTCATTTCAAAATATGAACATATTTCCACAAACTAAAAATTCTGCTATGACTTCAAATGCATGTATTCCTTTACCACTGTCTCCCATACGTATGCAACCAAAACACCCTCAAAATAATTTATGCAAGTCAAGATTTTTTTATAAACAACAGTTATGGTAAGCATGTGATTGTATACCTGTTCAAAGCTCAAAAGTGAACTTTTGTCAGGAGAGTAAATCTCATAAGTGACAACAGTGCCATCACGCAGTTTTGTTGTGTGTAAAGTTCCTTTCAATTCTGGGCAGGCTCGCCGACCAAACAGAGCTCCAACAAGGGTTTGACAATGGCCACTCTTTCCCCAAATGACTGGGGGGGAATACCTGTCAGACAATGATGATAATCATTATACATTGGACTTGCGACAAAAATTCTGATGAAAGAAGCTTACAATTGATATACAAAAGCATGTGAAGTTGACATGACAACCCAACATCTGCAGCAGATATTGAGTTATCATGTCAAGTTCAACGTCTGCCTAGTTTCCAAGCCTATCATCCAATTTCCATGTCGAACTGTTCTCAAACTTTTATTCAAATATATACAAACTCAGAGAGGTGTCTCTTTAAATTGTAGATTGTTTCAAAAATGTATAATAAAACAATTATTGAAGTTGGTTTTCACAAAATGTCAAGAATTATCAAACCTAATGTCTGTTTTTTTTTCTCCTCAGCCTTAAGCTTTGGCAAATAACTAAGACCACAGCACTGATTCTTCATGATACCATGCTTAACCTCATCCAATAATTGCCTATTACTAGTACAAACTAAAACAGTGGGTAGCAGTGAAAGAATGCCCTGATTGGCTACTCAAACTCTGAACATTCTTTGCTATTCACCTCCTTGCTACTCTTGCTGGATTTGCACCCATAAATATAGAAATTATTGCAGCAGGAAAAAATGAATTAAAGTCATCTTATTCTAGTACATTATCTCACTGTTTCTGTATAAACTATATCAACTATTCACCTCAGAGTCAGAGGCTAGGGGGTGTATAGCTACATCGCTGCTTGTCCGCTCTGATATCCAGCAATAGGCACCTCCACTTTAGTGAAAAGGTGACCATTAGGTAGAGCAATGATACATGCAGGCAAACTACAATTTGAGCAATTATTATTATTATTTTTATTTGCCTTGCTCCCAATGTCTGGCTTTGTAACTCAGTTGTGTACAAGTCCAACTGGTAATCAGGGAGACAAGCATCCAACTTCCCTTTATGCCTAATTTTTTCAGGTTTCTTAGCTGCATTTGAATCGTGGCACACTTAAGTGGATCATTGCTTTACTTGACTTTCATCTGCCAGTCATATAGAACAGGGCTCGACACTAACAGTGGCCAACTAGCCACAGACTGGTAGAAATTCAGATTTGGCTGGTGGTTGTTGATTTCCACCAGCCAGTTTGGCTAGTAAACAAACTGAAATTGTTGTAACATTTAAGATGTCACAAGCCACTTGGCTAGCTATAGTGAATTGAAAAGTTGGTGTTGAGCCCTGTAAAGTTTATTTCATTTAAAATTGTAATATAACGGTTAGTTGTTAAGTTTTGAAGGGTCTAGTATAATTATGTGAAGTAATATCGACAAAATTTTATAATAAGTGCTCTCTACTTCAATGCATGACAGTTAATTTGGAATTCACTCTAACAAACTATGACCAACTAGAGATCTCAAACTCATCATCCTTATATCAAGTAGAGGTCATTACACTAAAAGAGTTCGGTAGGTCTCTGTAGTAAAGGTGGTTCCACAATTAACATTGGCCAACGTGCAAATTTCTCAAGACATTATCTTTTCGCTTCCATTTTTGCGTTACAACTAAAAGTGAAGACATGTCTCGTGCTTTCCTTGAATATTCAATACCCTTCAAGGATATTCTTAACATGCAATTATGCAAACTCAGTCGGCATAACTATCACACTCCAAGAGTTAAATTAGTAGGGATTCACAAGTTTCTATAAAGCGTCATAAAAAATTTAAAATTTAAAACCTCAGACGTCCAAATAATAGTACAGAGAGGGAAGAAATGAGTAGGTTAGATATCTGGGCGGCACTTTGTGTGATATCGAGTTTTTCTTTAATAATTAATGATAGCAGTGTGATATTGTGCGTCCAGGTAGATCTGAATTAGTCTAAAACGAAATTGGAGGTATTCCAAAGTTATTCTTGCAATACTGTATCGTTTTGAGAAGTAGGAATGCGATAAATTTTTTCACAAAAATTTTCTAGTTTTATCAAAAATAATTTTCCGGAACTATTTTCGTCAGGTTTCACAGTAAGCGTTCTCTGATACTACGAATTAAGTTTCCTAAATTTAATACATTCGTCGCACGTACCGGCTTCCATTCATGTAAACGGTTTCATATTTCCAAAACGATGATGTTTTCTCTTACCGTTAAATCATTCAATTAGATTTTAACTACAGATACAAAGAACAGAATAGCTTGGCAGTAAAATAACAGCTGTAATAATAGTTTGAAGGGTGAAAACAGCTCATTACTTAATTAACATAAATTCGAATGTTGTTTTGGTATCGAAGGACAAAAACACATTTGCAAAAACCTTCGAATTGTACGTACCTTTCGAATAAAATAGGACAGGATTGTAGGACTGTGTTGGTAAAATGGCTACTAGATGAATATATCTTTGGAGAATGAGAAGAATCCGTCAGATTTAGGATACGAACCAGCAAAAAAACAATCACAACTACAAGAGCCAAAATAACAAAGTACGCCATTTGCGAGACCTCCCACTTTGCGGAACCCTCTAGAATACATGCGCTAATTGGTAACGCATTACCCTGATGTGTAACGCAACACTACAGGTCCCTTTCCAAAAACATAAAGTGAAGAGAACTACAGCGTTAAAAGTAATGCTTTTCTGCCCAAGGAATCCATACCAGTCCTACAATAAAATAATCTGTTAAGAAAGGAAATTTAAACTTCCGGATGGCTGATGGTGTGAAGGGGGGAGGGGAAGGGCAAATTTTACCTAATCGAGTTGAACTGCTCAGCAATGTGTTGTTATCAGAGTCTTGGTTCTTATAAGTGGTATGCAATTTCTTAATTCTCGGTGAGTTTCTAAGAAGCCTAGCTTACACCGTCGTATTCCCCGTTCTAAAATACCCAACACAGAAAACCTAGGGTCACTGAGCTTTATTCAAATTAAATGGACTTTAAGAGGCCTGCGTGAATAGACCTCCTAGAGAAGGAAGACAAAACAAACAAGCTAAACATAAAAAAATTGACGTCACGCGGCCTCAGACCCATCATTGGCACCTTCTAAGATTTTTCCGGAAAAGCCCCGTATTAGCTATGACCCACGGTTCTCGGCTGGGTGACCGCTGGACAGCATGCGCGCAGTTACTATTATCTTGATGGGTATACTGGACGTCACTGGCCAACGCATAATCCTACTGGAAGAGTTAAACATTTGTTCGACCTCAAAATCAATTATATCAAACATGCATTACTATAGTAATGAATGAAAGGAATAAAAGATTATAAGTCTCTTTGAAGGGGCTAGTTAATGACTTACAATTTAAATTTAGAGTTTTTTAAACATTTCTACCCAAAAACATTTGCTACACTGGACTCAAATATTCTGAAATACCCCACTTCTGCATCGAGGCTGTTTTATATCTCATCCATGCTTTCGAAGTCTGATGGTAAGTTGTTTCAGGGCTTACATTTTGTAAAGCTTTTCTNAGTTCAACAAAACTACCAAAAGGACTCGGGCCTAAAATTTGCAGTGCGCTGTAAGTAAATGAAGGGAAACCAGTATAAAAATCGCGTGATCTCATATCTGTAAATTCAAATTGTGTTAAGCCCAAAAAATAGGAAGTCTATGACCGCATATATCCATGGGATTATTTATAGTTGATTCACTTATGTTGGCTAATTTCAACCAAAGACCAGTTTCTTATATAGGGTGAGTAGATATTACTAAATGGAATGACCCAATTGTAACAAGAAGCAATTAATCGTAGAAATATATTATGTTAACACATTCACACCTGAGCCGCCCGGAACCGCCCGGAACCGCCCGGAACCGCCCGAACCGCCCCGAACCGCCCCGGAACCGCCCGGAACCGCCCGGAACCGCCCGAACCGCATGATTAGCTCGCGCGAAAACGCTTTTCCCCTACCTCCCAAAACTTCCTCTATGGTTAGGAGATCAACAAACCAATCAGAATCCGTAGTTTGCGCATATATTTTGATGGCTTTGGGGGTACTAGAGGGGCATTATTCTATGCGTTCAGTACTTTCAGAATTTTTAACATAACGCTACGCAATTTTTTGCCGTGAAGTCAAGTAAACAACGATCCAAGCATGACGAGTTTTACCGCGTGACCTTTGTACACTTAGAAATTCGTACGTTTTTCGCTTGTAACAGCTAATCAAAAGTTGTTCTAAATAAAACTGTCGTCCCGAAATATATCTTAGTCATTTTCGTCTTGCTTCCTATTAACAGATACTATGAAACTTGAGATATCTTTACCCACTGGTGAGAAATTTGCATAATCACTTTTGATCCGCATGCCATTTCCCCACCTGGATAAATAGCGATTTTTATCTTTCATGTCGGTTTTGAGTAAAAAATCAATCGGCCGCGGGAGCAAATGATCCCAGCAATGCCATAGAAGAACTTCTTTGAAGGGAAAAACAATACCTTTGCGGAGCAAATACTCACAGTATTAGTGAATTATCCTTACTGTCTGCCATTCTATTCTTGTGATGTTTACTCAGAGAATTTGGAATTGGATCAACTAATAATCCCACCATTGTTTGTATTTTTCTTTATGCTCATCACTTGTAAGATCGATATTGTATTGGTATTATAACGTGAAATTCTTACTTGGTCAGGTCTAGGAGTTTAAGAGTTAATAGGTCCGTATACATGATTGGACATGACATGAAGCTAGGATATTAACTGAGACGTATTACTTAACTCCAATACAGGTCAACCACCCAGACCCTAACCCCCACCCGGAAATAAACGGTCCCCACCCGGGTAAGAGCTGCAAATTATTGTTTCTATTGGTAACTACAGCA